GGCGGCGCGGTGCGGTGCTGGGGGGGGGTGTTGGCGGCGCGGCACTCGGGGTGTGTGTGTGTGTTACGGTGGGGCGGTGCTCTTTCTTTTTTGCCTGGGGCGGACAAAAAAGTTAGAGCCGGCCCTGGCTGTAGGCCTACTCAGCTGTGCCCTGCTACACTGGCACTTGCTGTCAGGTAATGAAGGGGTAGTTAAAAAAGGGGGAGAGGGCAGCTCTCTAGTTGGTAGCTGGTTTAGTAGGGAGGAGAACAAACCTTTTATTCCTCCTTTCCTGGGGGAAAGGATCAGCCTAGAAGATCTGCAGAGACTGCTCGCTGCCTGAGCCCCTCTGGAGAAAGGTAGTCTTGGCACTGGACTATTGAGTTTGTTTTCTTCATGGGACTTTTTCTGTATTTTATTATAAAAAGACTATCAGGCTTACTGGGAGAGGCCTGAGGGGCCTAATCAGCCGATTACAGGGAACCCCTGCCCAGGGTAGGTGTGGGGAGCTCAGTAAACTCTGTGGACTCCTGTACCCTACTCAACTCTCCCCTTAGTTTGTCTGGACCCTGAAGAGTGTGGTCACACTGTCACAGGAACCCGTTTCCTCATCAACAAAGATACCACTGTCCCAAACAGTGGGAGACAGTCTGCAGTGGTACGGCACAGGCAATAAAATATAATAACCTGTGGAGATGAAACACTGTTCTAAATAAAAAGGCTTTTATGAAATGCTCTTGTACCGAGACCTCAAATAAAAAAACACAATGTATATGAATGAGCAGGAAGGCAACAGCAAGGACAAAAATAGGATTCTACTCTACCAAATTCAAGATTCTATTCTACATGTCACCCAGATCTGAACTAATTTTTCATCAATACCACTCATGGATGGGTGACATTTCTCAGGTAATTTTCCAGATAACTGCTTATATTTAGAGGAGGTTGATAAGCAATTTTGCCAAAGGTTTACAAGTTGTTTCCATTTCACAAGGTTTAAACTAGATCCCTTTCCCATTCTGACAATTTCCATGACCTTTCAACTGAAAAGTTAACCCATATTTTTATTGAAATCACTTAAAAAAACCTTGTTTCCCAAACTACCTTCCAGTGAGAAAACACTGTTTTTAGTAAATAAAAAAATTCAATTAAAATATGGGTAAAATTTTTGATAAAAAATAAAGCAGAAAAATTCCCGAGAAGCTGAACCCTTTCATAATGTCAGGAATTTTTTTCTATTTTTTTTTGGGGGGGGAAAGGTCACTTTTTATGACACCCCCAAACAAAAGACCCCCCTATTTTTCAAAAAAAATGTTGAATAGGTATTTCCTTTAGACTGTTATACAGGCTTCTGCTTTACATGGTTGAATGTATGGGAACTTGAGTGACATAGCCTTGGATTGCTGTGAAGGAAAAGGTTAGTGCTTCTTAACCCGCTTTTCTGAAAACTGCTGTTTATATGAAATCAAAATAATTAAAACACTCACTCTGCCTTTTGGAAAGCTTAAAATAATGCCAATAATGATCAAAAATACAGAAAAACTCAGAAAAAATACAGATACAATACAGTGTTGCAGCCCCACATGTGCAGTATAGGTTCGATCCAAAGCTCACTGCACTTAATAGGAAAACTTCCACGGATTTCTTATTTTATTGTTTATTTGTATTGCAATAGTACCTAGGAGCCTCAGTCATGGTCTAGGACCCCATTATCCTAGGAGCTGTAAAAACACAGAGCAAAAGAGATGTTCTCTACCCGAAAGAGCTTGCCATTGGTTTTGGACCAGGCTTTAAATCACTCGTCATCTGTATGTTGGAGGGAGGTGTGGGGAAATAGAGCGGGGAGGCCTTCTTTTTAATAGCCAGAGCTGTGAATCTAAAACCCCCAAAATAAACCCTCCAATAGAGATCTGTTATGCTAACTACCCTTACACAAAGTAGTACAGGCCAGGGCCCAGGCCCGGGCCCAGGCCAGGGCCTGAACTAGACTGGACTGCACAATTCCCTGCCAAACTCGGTCAAGGGTCATGACCGGGGGTGGGGGGCAAGGAGGGAAAGACTAAAAATAAAAAGCCCCAGCAGCAGCACTAATGAAATATGTTCATGACTAATGAAATATAATAACCACTTGTGTGAAGCAATAGGTAACTTTAGCTAAATGCAATTTCTTGACTCATGCAGCTTCTCCTTTGGGTGATCTGTGACCCACTCCGTGATTCCCGCTATCTGCAAAAATAGGCAATCATAGATCCTCTTTAGGCGTCCCATGAAAACCACCCCCCAATCTTTAACCAAAAGACCCCGGAAAATAACATGTGTCTTGAGAAATGTACCCAAACTGGTGCCAAGTATCACCCCTGGGGAAAACCACCAAGCGCCCCTCTACCCAAATAAACATCCAATTCTCGGAAAAATGAGGAAGGTACCTAGGGGGGACGGGGGAAACTGACCCCGACCCTAATTTCTTAACTCGCGGTTTGGGGAGGGACTGACCCCAACCCTAGTTTCTTAACTTGTGGTTGGGGGGGGGGCTGACCCCAA